TAGTAGTATTAGTAGTAGTAGTAGTAGTAGTAGTAGTAGTAGGTAGTAGTAGGTAGTAATAGGTAGTAGGTCGTACGTAGTAGGTAGTTGGTAGTAGGTAGTACGTTGTACGTTGTGCGTAGTCCGTAGTACGTAATCTTATCAGTCTTTCGACTAGACGCAGAGCCAACAAAAAAACCATGGAGATCAGCCCATAAGCGAAGGTCATCGCGTCATATTTATCGTGGCATGCTGGTTGAAGTTGAGCAACACACTTCAACTAATATGCCGTAGGAAGAATGGAACATTTTGCTAAAAAGCAGAGCAAAACATTTTTATTTTGTTTTTCACTTGCGGATTTTGCTCTTTTTTGTCAATAAATGTTTGTAGTACTAAACATGTGAATCAATACAATACTGTACACAATTCTTCCACTTATTCCGGTAACGGGTCATGTCTTCAAGAGTGCTAAGCCATTGGCACTCCTCATCTTTGGGTCCCCATCCTGAAAGACGTACGGATCCAAAAGCGGCTAGGCACGACGTCAGCGATTTCATGTGCTGCCGCCAAGTGGAAGGCTGACCACCACGCGGTCGCCTCCAGCCAGATCCTTGACGAGCGAATAGAGCGCGACGCGGTAGACGTTCAGGTGCTATGCGCAGGACATGACCGACCATCTTAATTGGCGCAACAAAACCAGTTTGTTGAACGGATACTCGCATTCCCCAAGATGGGACGTCGAACGTCATTACTATTAACTCGTTGTTGCCACCCAACACGAGCGATCCTCCTTAAGCAACCGTTATCAAAGGCAGAAAGACGACGCATTTCTTCCACGCCAATCGTCCAAGACTCGCACCCATACAACAGCACTGAGCGAACTGATGTGCTGTAAACGCGGCCCTTTAGTGAGAATGGGACGTCGCGACGACGCCAAAAGTGCCTCAGATTGACTAATGCTGATCGAGCTTTAGCGATGCGAAGAGAAACTTCTTTGTTGATAGTGCCGTCAGCAGAAACACAGCTCCCAAGGTAGACGAAACTATCTACCTGTTCAAGTTGTACACCTTCGAGAGTGAGCACAGGAGCAGGTTAAAGCCAATCCTTGAGCAGTACTTCACACTTCGATGGGGCGAAGCTCATGCCATACTTAGATGCTTCAACTGCCAAACGATCCAGAATGAGTTGCATACCTTGAGGATTGTCACCAAGTAAGGCGATATCATCAGCATAATCTAAGTCGGTCGCGCGCTCACCCGGTGGAAGCTCTAGGCCAAAATATTGGAAACATAGAACATTCGACAGAACGTCTTCGATTGCGAAGTTGAAGAGGAATGGGGACATAGGGCAGCCCTGTCGCACACCGCTACTGACAGTGAATTGCGAGGAAAGCTTGCCATAGACCCTCACTCTGCCGGATATATGAAGGTAAAGTGCTCGTAAGATAGCGGTACATTTCCCTGGCACCCCGTTCTTTAGTAAGCAACGCCATAACGCAGGTCGATCAACGGAGTCAAAAGCGGCATGTATATCTAGGAATGCAATGGTAGTGGGCCTGTGATAAATGTGGCGATGTTCGAGGAGCTGACGGAGCGTGAAGATTTGATCCACGCATCCGTGACCGGAACGGAAACAAGCATGGTGGGACTAAACAGCACACGTTCAGGTGCCCTGGTGTGATCCACTAACCGAGCCGCAGTGCCTAAAGGCGCATGTGGTTTCCGGTGGAAATTGCTTGACCCATTTTCATACGAAGTGCGGGAAAATCAAACCAAGTGAGTGTAGGCTCATCAGCAGCAGGCCTGACTCATTTTGTCCCTGTGTGATGTGTATTACTGTCGCACTAGTTAAAATCGCAATTACACTGTCCCATAAGTATGAAAAGCTTGCAGGCACAGTTGCGTTGATGCTGGGCACCAAAATAGCTTCGGTTGGAACAAGCACAGTAGAATGTCTGACACAGATCCCTCCACCGAATTACACTGCAAACCAACTCAACAACGTCGAATGCTACACTGATGTGGTTGCTCCTGCAAACGCTGCCGATAATCTAAATCGTCCAAAGGTTTCCGAACACTTTATCCCCTGCCCAGTTACAGCAATTTCCCCAACTCCACTTCTTCCTACCAGAATTTGCCGAAACCCAGGAAACATGCAAATACCAGTGGCCACTGGGCCCTTGTTGCATCAAAGTGCACTCCAAAATCAGACGCTCTTGTTTCCATTACAACATTCATAAGTAGTGTGAAAGGCACTGGTGCACGGATGCACAGCAAGTCGCTTGGTCTCCAAACTACAGTCCATACTCCCAGGAAAGACCCTCAGAAACAATTGGATACCTTAACTGTAGTATGTACCAACGTCCTGAGTCAACATCGAATTTTTTGAAGAGGAAACAGGTGG